TCAAAGGTGGTACCGTAAAATTAGTGGTGGTGAGGGAATGTTATCCGCTGCATTGGACTTAATGCGTCACATTCAGGAGCTCACTGCCGTCGAAAAAGTGTGTGTGCTGGCTTTCGACGAGATGAAGGTCACAGAAGCTTCTGAGTATGAGCTTACCGACGACTTCGTCAGGAAGCCGGCAAATTATGTTCAAGTAGTTATGGCGCTTGGATTATTAAAATCCTGGAAGCAGCCAGTATGTTACGATTTTGATTGTAAAATAAACGTCGAACCTTTGCATACGATTATTTCGGCTGTGCAAAATGCTGGCTTCCCTGTTCTTGCGATGGTCTGCGATATGGGCCCATCCAACCAAAAGCTTTGGAGAGACCTCGGAATCACTCCAGGTATATATTTAATTCACTAATACATTTTCTAGAGCTAATTAACAATTAATTAGAACACCCACGGTTCAGCAACCCTATTGATCCAGGGGCGAAGGTTTTCGCATTTGCGGATGCTCTGTTGAAACTCATCCGAAATAATTTTATTGATAGTGGATTTTTTGGAAAGACCGTATAATAACCACGCGCGCAATAGTTGATGTTATGAGGTACACATCTGTATCCGACCTATCTATAACATTCAAGTTAACAGAAGAGCACTTAGCTGTAAAAGGGATAAGTATGTTAATAATAACTATTCTATAATCCCGTAGCTAATATAATTCACGCAAAATTTCAGGCAGACAAAAGGCAAAATTGGCGACACAGTTGCTTTCTAACACGACTGCAAAAGCCATGCTGCGCTGCTACGATCTGGGGTTGGACATAGAAGAAGCGATTGAGACAGCTGAACTAATTTAGTTGGTGAACGATTGGTACGACGTGCTCAATTCCTCCATTAAAACGTCCAATTATCCTGGAAAGGTAATATTTCATAAAGCTCGCAACTTATTACCTGCATATAATTTACTTAAAGGAACCATTTGGACGGAAGATGCAGCGGAAGCTTGAGATTTTGGGACGAATGAATAATTTCATGTCGGATGTTATCATCCCTAGCAAAAATAGCATACAAGTTCAAATGGGTGTTTTGGTAACAAATAACGCACTGTTACAGTTGTACGAGTATGTGGTAGTGAAGTACAACTTCAACTACGTTGTCACACGGCGTCTAAATCAAGATTTGCTGGAGCACTTCTTCGGAAATATACGAAGCAAGGGAGGATTAAACGACCACCCTACACCGAAGGAGTTTAGGTACAGGCTCCGAAAATACATTTTAGGTAAGTTTGCCAAAAAATATCTTTTAAATGTATATTTAATTGTATATTATCCACACCTGTATACCTAATCTCAAACCAGTTAACGACAATACTCGGATCGCTATCGGAATTGGCTGACGTGTGTTATTAATACCGCAAGGTTATGATAGCGGTACGATATGTGTCGCTGACTCGTCTAGGAATAGCCCCTCTGAATTATTTTTCAGCAAGTAATGCCGAAAATCTGAACAAAACAGGCAACGCCGAGCAGGATTCTGTTGAAGGGCTGAACACATCAAACCCGCAGGTGTTGTGTGGAATCGGGGTGTTCGAAAATAGCGCACCAGATGAACAGGAAGTAGGAGAACCAGAGCCTTTGGAAGCACAACCAGAGGCCGTTTACGCTCTGAGTGTCGCTCACGCCAATGGTGATGGCGATGTGCTGGAATACGATCCAGATGTGCTAGAAGGCGACAGTGATGTGCTCCATGGGGGAACCGATGTGATACATGGCGATGCTGATGTGCTGCATGGCGATGCGCTAGAATATATGGCTGGATATATAATTGGTGAGCACGAAGACACCAGTAACGCAACTTTTACGTGGGTCGATCAGGTGTCGAAAGGGTACCTTGAAAAGCCTTCACCCCTTTTTATAGACCGTATTAGGAGCTTGGAGTCGGTATTCCTTGCTGTTAATTTACAGGAAATAGCGCACTGGAAAAATATAAAGCAGCGCCTTCTGAACAAAGCAGCTAATGTAGACGTTCCAGACAGCGTCAAGCAGTTTTTCTTTAAATGCCGGATACTGTTTAGAGTGCGCCACCTAAATAAATTGATTGTGAAGAAATTGAAAGTGAAGAAGGCAAAGCAAAGGCTGGTACCCTACAAAAAGTTAAATAAAATAACTCTTTAAACTGGTAAAATTAAATATTAAATTATTTGCGTTCAAACTTTTAATCATATTTATATTTCAGAAATTGTATCCAATTGAAATTGAGCAGGCACACGTCTTAGTACAAGCTTCCAGGCATTAAACACAGTCAGTACCTACCAGTGCCAGTATTATATCCGCACTTACATTTACATATATATGTTTCTTTTATATAATAATCTATGTGATAATATAATTACCTAATATGATATAATATATTTCCAGACTTCACTGCGTCAATGAACCAGCTATCGCAACGCCAACTGCATATTTGCAACGTACCTGTAAACTTACATCTTAAAGGCACATACTCTCGGTCACGTGTTAAACATTGTTTCACCACCTCCTGGCGAGGTAGAAACGCCACCGCTGATTGTGTCGGTTAGTCACAGCAAAGATGAGAAATTCATCAGCACACCGACATCATCCCCACTCAAAGAATAGGACCTGAAAATGTCAGCCGGAATTAAAATCCATGGCAACGCTTGTTGGTACTTGGGATTTCAAACAGGTGAGACTATAGCTTAAATATTTGATGAACTTAATGATATGTACGTAAATTTCTACTTTGGTTGCAAATGCGTATTTCCGTATCGCAATTGGAGTTGTTGTCTGAGCAAATTCAGTTGAAAGCTCCATCATTTGTGGTCACTACCATCAATCAAAACAAGCACATCCACGCGCATTTATATCCAATGGTGTTTATTTACACCTTAGAAGTATTTTCGAATGTTCATAAAACTTTGATACTTTGTACATACCCAGCCAGCAAGAAAACGTACATTTTACGAACTTTTTATCCACGACTTTTCATCCAGTTTCTCTTCAAGAAAATATCCAGTTACGAGCTCGATTACGATGATTTTGATGGCTGGGTACGTATATATGTACATATGTATGTATGTGCTTATTTTTATCGCACATAAACTTTTGTGCTTTGTAGGTCTACAAAACGCCTAACAGCTATGATTGTGTCGCCACTTTCTTCTTTATCGACTGCGCTATTAATATTGTGGACTTTATTGAAGCTATTTTTAGGTATGTACCATGATACAAATATTTAAATGTAAAACCGCTCGCTCAATTCGTCCGCCATTGGGTTTTTTTTTGACGTTTGCTAGCATTTTGAGTTTACTCTCTCGAAATAATTCAAAATAAACAAATGAAAATTTATAATTAGAAAATTTATTTATTCAAATGTGGGAAGAACTTAAAGTTTTATGAGATGCTGGGTTAGCAGTTGCGTTAATACCGTTTTTACCTGCAAGCAAAGCAGTATAAAGTTCTTTCAAGTTCCTGCAATTACCGTGTGTACGCAAAACTTGATCGAGGTTGGTGGTGTTAGGGCAGCGGATTTTCCCAAGTGCCTATGTGCGCTAGGCTCATTTTTTGCCACACAACTTGACCCAAGATAGTTCTTAGCAAGAGTGCAGTGACTTCAAGGTTACATTTGTTTAAATGTATGCCAAAATCTTCGCCTTAGCATGTGGGCAGAAATTCATTACACAATAGCTAACATTTATTTATTTACATATGTACATACATACATACGTATGTACATATCTATGAATGTACATTCAAATTTTAATGTTTCGACAGAAATATATTTCTTTGGTTTGAGTGAAAATAAAAACAAACAAATGAAATGACGTCGAGAGTAATTTTCAAAAGTGCTAGCAAACGTCAAAATTCCCAAAGCTGGCTCTCAGCGATTGTACCTTATAAATATTTTTATCATGGTATGTACTTATTTAACTTAATTGTCCCTGTCATGTGGGCAAATGATTTAAATTATGCACGCTTAAGATAAATACATATATAAGCACGAGTGTGTACGACTTATATGAAATTATTTTGGTAATAATTTATTATGTTTGCATAATTTTAACGCTTGCAACTAGGGCAGTTTTTAATGTTGAAAGTTTGCTTAAAATACAAAATCAAATTGCAATTTCGAAACTATATTTTTTTTTGTTTTCAGAATATTGAAACCAGGCGGCATTTGGGTGAATTTGGGCCTACTACTTTATCATTTCAACTATATACGGGGCGAGAAAATGGTTGGCTTTGATTTTCTTCGTAGCCAAACAGGCGTACGCACTAAATAATCATAAAACCCACAATCCATGCTTAAAAGTGAATATGAGAGCTTATTTTGGATTTGTCGCAAGCCAGAAAATCCAGTTGACCGCATTAACGATTAATCGAATTGCGATGATGAATCTTATGAGCTCGTTGATGGAGACGTTGGCAGTAGCAGCAACAATAGTCACTATGAAGATAACTACAGCAATGGTTACAAATACGCATACCAACATCAATAGTATTGGCGGCAAAAGGCGCAAGGTATTATCTTGCCTAACACTTAACTATTAGTCATTTTGCAATCCTAGTTATTTGTTTTTTGACACACGCATAACAAATTCTTCCACATCCCAGTATGCATATGTAAATCAGTATGTATGACTATGTGTTTATAAAAACACAACTCTCTTAATAACAACAAAGTTGTACGAATAATATGCTCTCTTTTATGATCGAGTAGCATAAATATTGAATATTAGGCATATGAAATTGAATTCTTTAACATGGAATATGTTTTTAAGTTTAATTAAAGCATTATGCAAAAGCATAAAACACATGTTGTAATTTTAAGCAAAGTATTACCGGAACCAGAACTATGATTTCAGAATCTACAAAGTCGAAAAATAGTTGGTAGAACACACTTTTCACGAAATTAATGAAATAAAATTTTTACCTGTATTGAAATTAATTGCAAGCAATTTTTTAATTTGGTTGATTTTTCCCTCATAGTCCCATGCATATGATAAAGTTAACTGGATGCAGTTTTTTATTATTTTTTATTTCTCTTGCGTCCATCTCCGATAGAAATACAGTAGGAAATATAATATTAAATAATGCAATTGTATTAAGACACCTTTATAAACAAAATAAAAAAATATAATAAAAGCAAATGGAATTTAAGTTACCACTTACTACAAGTATTACTTTTTTGTATTTTGGAACGAATTACCGTCATCCCTTGTCAAATTTGGTTTGGAGACAACCCGGTTTTGGCGTTGTGCCATCTTCAGTGTAATTTTTCGTTCTGCATAATTTTTGTTGGTTGCTCGTATTTATACTCCTTGTTAACTACCTCTTTCTTTTGTTAGGTACGTCTTTTTAGTTTTGCAGTGTTTGCGGAGCTCAATAGTTAGATGAATTGTTTCGGCTCGTTTTTGACGGCAGGTAGAAGTCCGTGATTTTTACCCACTTTGTTTTTGCAGTTGGTGTATTCTCTTCCATGTCTGTCCCTAATATTTTTTTGTTGTAATTTTTCTTCTCGTACAGTAGTTTTAGAGGTTCAAACAGTACGTCCGATACAGTATTTATTTGCTCATTTATTATTTGTCCTTTGAAGTTCTTCTGTTTATATATTTCCGTAGTTTCTAATATATTAAATCTTTGTCCTTTATGTTGTATACGGAGAAGTTCTGTTGTTTGTCCAATCTTCATTGGTGTGCATTTATTTTTGATCATATGATTCGCGAAGTTCGATTCTATTGCAGCCTCTGGTTTTCGTTTTTTCTTATTATAATCCCTTATGTGTTCTCGATACCTTGTTCTTATATTTCGCCCTGTTTCACAGTGGTAGAAATGGCCAATCTAGCTCCGATTAAATCAAATTTCAAAATCTATTTTAACGGAAAAACAGATTTGTATTTGATTACTAATACATCAGATAGATCACTGACATTTTTCATTTCGTTTTGCTCTCAATATTCGCACAGCTGTAAAGCTTCAAACACAGCATATGTTGCACCAGATGCAGCCAAAAACCTTTCCGCCTTTTTTAACAAGCAGCTGCAATTGTTCATTAAATTTCTCAAAGTGATTCTAAAATTCTTTTTAATTTTTTTATTTAAAGTTAAAGGTGTGTATTAACGAAAAAAAATGTGTTTGTGTCCAGTGTTTGTGTTTCGTGTTTTAGATTTGTTGTTGTTTAAAGTGCTAGTAAGAATTATAATGTTTTCCAATAAATTCACCTGTTGTAGAGGTAAACTTCTGTGATTCGAATGCAATCGATCTCATTTTATTTTTTTTAATTAATGTAGAGTGTTGTTATGTGAAATGTTTAAAATGAGATGCACGTTTTTGCAACTTTTTTATAAATTATTTTTTTTAGTTACAATGTCAGTATCTAAGCGAGCGCTATTTTTGGTATGGTATGCGGAACATGACGCTTCTAAAAAATTTTCTGCCGTGGAATCCTATGTTTTCGACATCATAGATAAAAGCAAATATAATGAGGATCAATGCATTGAAATATCCAACAGGGTAAAAAATTTCACCACAAAAATAAGCATGAAATGGAGACAAAGCCACCGGGCTCGGATGATTTTTGAGAGAAATAACAAGGTCTGGTTAGATAGTGAAATTTTATTGGTAGACCCAACCCCAAGTACTGGGCGACCCAAAATAAGCTTCACGGACAGCCAGGAAAAAACAAAAAAGAAAAAAGTGTCTGATATCGCCAAAGAAATCCCGTGTGATGAGCTCATGTCTGCGGCCAGCACTAGTTTATACAAGGCTGGCAAGAGGACTGCATCAGTAGTCGTATCAATGTTGAACTCCGATGAAAATTTGCCAAAAAAATTAAAATCTGCCATATTAACCAATAATAATGAAGTCATAAAATACACAGCAGAGGAAGCTTTAGCATTATATATTGATGGCGGTTATACAAAAAGGGTTTACATGGACTTGCAGAATGGAACTAAAAAGAGAAATGCTAATATATTTCCCACTTATGATGTTTTACTGTCTGCGAAAAAAATTTGCTACCCTGATGGGCTACAAGTTACTGATCATTTTTTTGAGGTGCCTTTACAATGTTTGGTTAATCACACAGTGGCCAGAATATTTGCTGCGCATTCCCAAGATTTCACAAACTCTGAGAGTAACAACGCTCTTAAGGTAACTGCCATTTACAAATGGGGTTGTGATGGAAGTAGTGGCCACTCAACTTATCGACAAAATTTTGATAATGTTGACGCTTGTATGATTGACCAACATATGTTTACGGTGTGCTTGGTACAATTACAAATAGTTTTCGGTTCAACCATACTCTGGAAAAATGCCAAACCTTCATCAACTCGTTATTGCAGACCACTAAAATTACTTTGTCAAAAGGAAACAGCAGAATTAATCCGTGATGAAGTGAACAATGTCGAATCTCAAATAGCCAAAACTCAGCCAAAAAAAATTCAAAATTATGAAGTTCATCATCAGTTCCATATGACCATGATAGATGGGAAGGTATTTAGTGTTGTGGCAGAAACATCATCCCAAAAGTGTGGAATTTGTGATGCATCACCAAAAAATATGAACAACCTTCAAATGGTGAAAAATTTGCCGTGCAAAGAAAACTTATACGAATGTGGATTATCAACTTTACATGCGTGGATTCGCTTCTTTGAGTGTATTCTGCATATCGCTTACAGAATTCCAATTAAAAAATGGCAGATTCGCAGTTGTGATATGGCGACTGTTGATAAAAAGAAAACTGAAATACAAACAAATCTGAGAAAAGAAATGGGTATACTGGTTGATATCCAAATGCCTGGATCAGGCCCAACTAATAATGGCAACACATCCAGAAGATTTTTCCAACAATCAAAATTGGCTGCTCAAATAACTGGTGTTAGCAGTTTATTAATATATCGTTTCAGCGTTATTTTACGGACAATGGCTTCTGGATATGAAATCAATACGGACGCCTTTCAGCAGTACGCATACCAAACAGCAACTATTTTTGTTGATTTGTATCCCTGGTTTTATATGCCCTCATCGGTCCATACAATTTTAATACATGGTGCAGATATTATTAAATATGCTTCCCTTCCAATAGGTATGATATCAGAAGAAGCTCTCGAGGCCAGAAATAAAGACCTTAGAAAATATCGCCTACATCACACTCGAAAAAATTCACGGAAAAACTCAATGGAAGACTTGGCACATACACTATTTGTTTCATCAGATCCTTTCATTACCATGTTATCGAAAAGTTCATTGCCCTCTTCAAAAAAGGATGATATTATAGATAAGGATATTATTAGTCTTCTTTGTAATACAGGTGAAGAAAATAATATGTCATATGATAGCTTATCAGATACTGAGTAGAGCATTTTAATCTGAAAATTAAAAAAAAAATTATAAATAAAAAGCTTAATGAAAACATATGTTTTGCATTAATTTTGATTTATTCCAATGTTATCAATATACAAAAAATGTGCAGCTTCACAATATCAGCCTTTTTTTATGAAATATATGATGACTGAATAAGGCCTAAAATAGTTATTTCAACAGAAAAAAAAATTTTTTAAAAATATAAAAAAATAAAAAATTCAAATAAAAAAAATTTTAATATTAAAGTTTACTATATTTTTAGCCCAAAAGAATAAGAAACATTAAATATATTAACTTCATCATGTTTTTCTGAATAAAAGAAATAATGTCTAAAATATGAAAAAAAGGTTCAACTTTCACAAAAAAAATAAAATATAAATATATTTTTAAAAGATTTTTTTTTGTTTACCATTGTAGATTAATCTGTTTTCAACTAAAAAAAAATATTACACAAACAAAAAAAAAAATTCCCTAAGCGCTATTAATTAAACACCGCTAAATAAGTGTTTTCGACCACTGTGTGATTGTCCTATGTAACTGTGTCGGCACTCGCAGGTTAACTTGTAAACACCCTGTTTATCTAGCGGGTCTTCCTCGCTTATTTTCTCTTTTAATATATTTCCCACTGTGTTCCTTGTTTTAAATGATGTATGAATGTCGTATTTATGAAAGAATTTGGCAAGTTTGTAAGATGTCCTTCCTGTGTAAGTTAGAACTGCCCAAGTTTTTTTTATTGTTTTCCTCTTTGCTAGTCTTTTTCGATTTTGTGTCCTTTCTTAACTTCCCCACCAGGCCTCTCCTATATCCGTCATTTTCCGCAATGGCATATATTGTATCCAGTTCCTTCTTGTAGTCTCTCTTGACAAATCGGGAGTGGAATTTCTGTTCTGACGGAGGTTTACATTAATGAGGAAGAAGCAGAACTATTAAAAAAAGGCCTCAAACACAACATTGAAAGTTACAACCGAAAGAGGGAACTTGAACAAACCATCGTGGATACTGAAGTTATTATATCACGGCTTCCAACTGTAGAACAGGAGCACGCCAGACACATATGTCGGCACATAATTGAAAAAGACATAAAGACCAAGAAAACTAGGAAGCAGAAGAACGAAAACCAAACCATAAAAGGGCTCAAAGAAAAGCTAAGGGCAAACAATGTTATAACCACAAAAGCAGACAAAGGCAATACCACCGTATTAATTGATAAAAAAGATTACATAGAGATAACTGAAAAACTAATAACTGAAATAGGGTGCAATAAATTGGGAAAAGATCCCACTGAAGAATACCAAGCAGCAATAAAGAATACCATAAAGAAAAGCACAACCATAATAAAGGATAATCTACCATATAGACTAACACTTATGAACCCGAGTGTCCCTCCGTTGATTGCCTTGCCGAAAATACACAAACCAGGCACCCCGATGAGACCTATTATTAATTACAAGTCTGCTCCCGGATACAGACTCTCCAAGCACCTAAAGACGCTGCTGAGGGATAACCTAAATCTACGCAATAAATATACTATTACAAATATAACGGAACTAATCGAGAAGATGAAATCGTTGAAGATCAATGAAAACACTAAATTCGTATCATTC